ACCAACATTTGATCCATTTCATAAGTGAATAATCTCTAGACAAAGTTAGTAGCTTGTATAAAAAACTCATATTAAAAAAAATAATTCAATTGACGCCACTATTCAYGTATATTAGACAGATTCAATTTATACGGGTTTTCGACTATACACCGTCAAAGTAAAAATTATTATGTGGACAGTTCACAGTTACATCAGATTTGCAATACAAAGTAATGTTTTTACAAGAAGGAGTAGTTGGGAGAATAATTTTGCCTCAACTTTCAACACTGTATATCTCTGGAAAGTGTTAGACTCAAACAACRAAATTAAAAACATAAACGAATTGAGTGATTTTGTTATGAAATTCCAATATAAGGGGAGAGGGTGGTGGAGAAATGCTCAATTTATTTAGTTTACACTCTATTAACTCGCAAACAAAATTTATTATATGGTTTTTAGGATTCTCATATATACTACAATAGTACAACAATTAACAATGTCAAGGTATTTAATGATTATTGGGTTGATTTGGAGAACCATCCTAATGCAAATATACATGATATGTTATCAGATTCTCATCGCAGAGCTGCAGTAAGTTAACAATATTTAAATATAATTTAAATACAATTCTAAATAAATATGCCATATTTTTTTAAAAATGAAACTTATGTTTTTAGACCATCAACTTGAAGTTTCAATTTCCTTTTTATGGACATTTATTAAACTCAACTACAATTGCAACTGGAGGTTTTTTATATTTAGGAGAATACATTCATTCATGGTTAGCAGCCACTCAATACATTGCACCTCTAATGGCCAATTTTGATTTAAGTTCATCAAACTATTCAAACATTTATTACATGGAAAATGGTACTGCATTAACAGTTACTTGGCATAATGTTACTTTACAAGATAAACCTGATGTTGGAGGATTCACTTTTCAAACAACTTTACATTCAAATGGAAATATTGTATTTGCATACAAGGATGTACCATCTAAAATMAAAGAAATTGATTCAACTAATCACCCAGTAAAAATTGGATTATCTGATGCATATGTATTAGATAAAACAATATTTTGTTAGTATAATTTTAAATCATTTTTAACTCTGCAGCCTTATTGGCATTTTTGACAATCAAAAATAAAATTTCTCAAATCACATTTATTTTAAAGTATGGCACCAATTTTTTTAACATTAATGTTTTTATGTTGTGCATATAGTTGTGAGAAGAAAAACTATTTATGAGTATCATAGAGTAACATTCCACGAGGATGAAGTAACAAATGGAACTGTTATAATTTTAACTGCATTGCCAACATGTCTCGAAAAGAAAAATTGTTCTAGTTGTATTAAAAAAGACACAAACTTTCAAGTATAATATTATAATTAATTATATTTAATAATTGCATAAAATAATTAAAATATTTGTTTTATACTAGTGTTTTTGGTGCGACAACCGATGTTCATCCGGAGTTGATCGCAACCGTCAAGACTGGCATCAGAAAGATTGTGAGAAATTGAAGCTTGTTAATGAAGATATGTGCACATCTGGAGCAACAACTGTTACTCCTATTGTTGACAATTMTAGTGTTGAAACATCTGTTAAAACTGAATCTCGTAATTGACTATATTATTATTTACATTCTATTTGAGGAAACAGTGGCATATTTAAGATTTTACCTAAAAGAAGCAACTCCTCCTTAAAAAAAAATGTAGATTTTTTATAGATCTCAGTATATTTTTATTTGCAAAACAAGATCTATATTTATTTTAATAGTTTAAATCTACTATAGCCTTAGGCAACAATGCAAACACATTAAATTTATGTGTATATTTGTTATATTATGTATTAATTTTTAAAAAAGTTCTTTATTTATTAATTAAACTTAAAAGCGCTCAGTTCAATAAACATTAAATATGTTTTTCAAGTATATCTTGTTGGAGACCTCTATCAGTGTCTTCTCTTAAATACGCCATTATAAACAAACTGTTTTATTTAGCATTTACTTTAACATTATCGTTTAATCTTTAGATACAAATTCTTCATCTTCTAGTACAAGTTTATTCTTCATTGCATTGTGTGTTTCATTAACTTTAATGTCATTAGTCTGGGTGTTCTATGCTTATTTAAATCCTCATACACGATCTGGACAAATGCTAATAAGAGTAAGTATATCATTTTAAATTCTATATTACTTAATTTGTTTAAGAATTTAATATATTTTTGTTATTTACTTCTTAGTGGTAGTATTTATTAATGATTTTCATTAGGTTAAGATAGGTCATTGATTCTGATATTTTTTTTTAATTTAAATGATAGGATTAGGTTAACCTATAGGATAATGTTGATGAGTACTTTGTTTGATAAAGTAGTAGTTGGAAGTAGTAGTTTAAAATTTAAAATTTGTACTTATCACATCCTATGACAATTATTTTCAGCAGTTTGGTATTAGTAGAAAAACTTAAAAAYACTAGTTATAACTGAACAATATAAATAAAATAGTTAAAGTGTTTTAAGTATTATTATACAAATTTCAACACATTATTAAAAACAAATTATTGAATATGTACTACATTTTCACTTAATTTGAAATTTGATTTAAATTTAGAAATGAATATATACTATATATTTTTTTTAATTTTAAAACTTTTTAAATGTARTTKGGGACTTTATTCATTGTTTATATGATATTTAAATATTGTTTTTTACTTAGTATCGACCAAATCAGTGGGGTTGGAGAAAAGGAGAAGCTCGTTATACAGCTGCTACTATTCATATGTAAAGTGAAATAAGTACGASATCAACCAAAAATTGACGACAGAAAGGTAGATTTAAAAATAATATAATTTATGATATATATAACCATATTTTTTTTGCATTTACAGTGTTGAGAGTTTGCTGGTTGAAATTAGAATTATAGAATATTAAATTGATAACAAAAAAAAAAACATCTGTAACTGTGATTTTTGAAAATAACTAAGGTTTTAGTAAAAGCTTGATGATGTATGAATCATAAATATATATTTATTTTATTTTGCACAATGCAGCTAATGTTATTTTCTAACTTCTATTAACTAACCTATTGTTACTTAAAACTTTTATTTTTAAATTTTTATAAATGTTATTCAATTTATTATATGTGTGGGTCCTATAATTGGAAGATAGATTTTTGGATATAACATAAACCATTATTTATTCTGTATGGAACCTAGTTGTCTTACATTTTATTTATAATTGTAAAACTTTGTAAATTAAAAARAAAATAGTCACTTTTATACCTCAATACTTAGAAAACTTTTTCAGTGCCTTAGTATATATACCGTATTATACATGAATCTTTCAAATGGTATTTTTAGAATATTTTTTACGAATTTTCTACGTATCTCATTTCTGACAATGCTTTTTCATAACAACTAATTAAGCATTTAAAAATTGTATACGCTGTTATATATTCTATTCAGAATAAGAATTCCCACTCGTCTTGTTCGCGCATGTCTGTTGCCACCAGTTGGCGTTCCAAAAGTATGTTATAACATAATAGGTAATAATTATTACAATATTAATAATCATTATTATGATCATTTGTATGCACATTGGCGGCTATCGATAGCAATGGGTGATGGAAACTGTCGACAACTGGCGACCAATCACAGTRCAACCGATACTTACCAGGGGGGTTCTGATGGCTGTCAGCGGCTTATTTGCGTGCGCAAAAGTGGGAATTCTTATTCCGAATAGAGTATAGTACCTAGTTTAAAAATAAACATTTTTTACATGCACTTATCTATAAGTTTGTTTTTTGTAAGGATACTCAATTTTTTTTTTGGGGGAGGGGGGAATAAAATATAATTTTTTTAGTTATATTATCATAAAATATCCCATTAATGAAGCTTAATAAATAAATAATTATCTACTCAGTTTAATTGACGCACTAAGTTATTATATTAAATCTAATTTTAAAATACATTAACTTAAATAATTATCATGTACCTTTTATTTCTAAGTTTTTTTAAAGGAAATTTAGCACTTTTACTACCTAGTGTGACATCCATATAATATAGTTCTAATTTGATAAAATAATACATATTCGTGATGTGGTATACTTTCTTTTCATATATAATTATTAGACATTGGTTTATTTTAAAAATATAAAAATGTTCATATGTTTTTTTTGTTTAAAATAATTATTATCTACTAATATGTTAATTTAACATATAAATTGTTTTATGAAATCGCTTGATGCAACATTGTTTTCCCAAGAACACTAAATTTTTACATTTTAGACAAATACAATTATAATAGACTAAAGGACCCCCTGATTGCTTCACCAGCCGACTTATAACTCAACTGTCATACGTATCATTTTTGATAATATTATAAACAATTTTTTTTGTAATATTGTTTTCTGTTGCAATTAAAATAGTATTTTTCACTGTAAAAATAATTTCTTATACATTAGATATATGTGCCTATTGAACAACACCCTAAATATTCTTATAAATACATATTTTAATTGTTTGTATTTTAATAGAACAATATGTTAATTAATTATACCAGCAACGTAATTAGGGTTGGATAGCATATTGATTAATTCCTGTTGGGACTGTGTTAATATATTATTTTTTTTATTGAAACAAACATTTTTATCTTTCTTATTGTATTCAATCAGCACTCATTGAATAATCCTTATACATTGCTGGGTTATGCACATTTTTGTATTGTACCTTGTATGTTTCAATTTTTTTTACAGGCCCGGCTCTAACAGTTAAATACACCTAAGCAAACTTAAGTTTTACTGCCCTTTACTTGTAAATACTACATCAAATATTTTTTAATTCACCCGTGGCCTATGTCGCCTACTCCTTAAGTCGGGCTTGTTTTTATAAAACACAAGTAAAAAATATTGAAATAGTGATATTCTTTGTATTATGTTTAAATTAAGTTTATTGTTTTTTTCTACTGTTGATCTTATGAAATGATGAAATTTGTAACATTCTTCTTAAATTAATTTTTTTTTAATT